CAATGACATCCTGACAGCTTACATTCTTCTAAAACAGGGTATAAGAAAGATAACATGATAATTGATAATTAGGGAGTAAGGTGGAGTGACCCTGATATTGGCACAGCCGGGAAATGTTAACACATATTTGCCACTTACTTTCAATGAAATGTTTTACATATGCATAATAATACTACTACCACAGTCAATAAGTTCATGGAATGGCCGTGAAGCATTGTTGCAGTGCACTACAGCAGATAGGTTGAGGCACGTAATGATGCCCTGTCGGTTCATCTCTCGTCACAGCAAGAGGCAGTTGTGTGCAAACAGTGTAAGTAGAACTACGACCTCTACTGTGAACTGCAGTTAAATGCAAGTGGCGGAAATAAAAAATGTGGCAGTTTGAACAATGAGCAAACATCAAGTTCTGCCAAAAACTCTGCAAATCCCCTAGTGAAATATTTGGCATAGGAAGAATTGGCTGTTGCTACACGACAACGCCCCTGCACATTGCTCTGTTCTTGTCCCAGAGGAAATGACAAGGCAACAGGTCATCGTTTTGCCATACCCTCGTACTCACCTGATCTCACACCATGCAATTTCTTTCTCTTTCACCACTTGAAAGCAAAGCTACGTGGTCATAGATTTCAGTCATCCGAGGAGGTGATCATTGCCACAAGAGACACTGTATGGGAATTTCCTGCCAATATGTTTCAGCAATGTTTTCGACAGCTACATCAACGTTGGCAGACTTGCATAGCGGCCAACGGCAATCATTTTAAGGGCCGATGTGAATCTGTGTAAGTGTATTGGAATACCTTGTAATATGATGCGATAAAACCACATTCCACGAACTTAATGACTCTACCACGTATATATGTATACATACACATATACACAGTATTGGGTTTTGTGTTTTCTTTATTAAACTTAAGGTAATGTAAAAACTAAATCAATTACCATGGATCTGCTAATTTTGATGTACAAAACAACACTTTAGAATTATAAGACAATGAAAACATGCAGTGATTCATGAATGTAAGGAACAAAAGTTGATAATTTTGTTGAGTACTAATGAAGGAAATGTTGTCACAAATAGGAGCAGGAGAATACAATTATAACATTTTAACTGAGCATTCACTTTGATTAAAAATTACTCTCCTGTCATTTAGCTGAAAGGGAAACCTACAATTTTGAGGAAGAAACTGACAAATTAAAAATAGCATTACAAAACCATGGCATGTAAATCAATCCAATCACAGTGTTGCAAAACATGAGTTTGTTTTGCAAGCCTCTGACCTTAGACCTCAAAATTACGTCAAAGAGATAACATATATGTGAAGACTAAGACACAACAAACACATATGAAATTGAATGATCAGCTGAAAACATTACATCACTGCATCCTATCGCAATACAGTGCCAAACATACTGTGGCATATTTCCTCAAAGCAAGAACTGTGAAGCCACAGAAAAAGCCATTGCTAGCGAACAGCTCTGAAACAACATTTGTTTCTGGCAACGACCATGAAACAGACAACAGAATGATGTCTGTTGCTAGGCAGGAAATTCTTAGCAAGCAAGGATGGATGGCCACTGCTAGGATATGACTCGGTAAACATGTTCCTGCAACATCAGATACAAGAATGAACAGTGTTGTCTGTGCAGGCCATGCTGAGGAATTATAAGGAAGACATCTGGGGCAACCAAGTCAGTTCCATACCAGAGGCTACAAAGAAAAAGGACAGTTGGAAGGGAGCCAACATTGAGGGAGGACTTGAGCATGGAAGCTGAAGAATCTCCATTATTAAAGCCATTACCAGGGAACAGCTGGTTAAGACACAGCAGACAGGAAAAGACTTAGCACATGCTGTGGTGATTTGTAAATAGTGGAGACCAGCAACTGAACTGTAATTACTTGTAGTTCCGACTTGTGTAAGTGGTCAACAAATCCAATATCCAATTCAAAACCCCGTTGACAGTCACATTCATACACCTGACAATACAAATTTCTAACAGACCACAATTCTGCAATGATGTAGTCATCCCTTATGTCTAGTATAATAACCGTCATAAACACAGCACAACAATCATTAAAATATTCACATTTCACACAGAACACTGAAAAATCTCCAACATTATACAGATGAAAGCACCAAACAAGACTTTCCCAAGAGGTTAATGAAGAGCTATATTACACCTGGAAATGAAAAAACAGCTATAACTTTAGGAAAGTATGGAACAGTTCCCTCACATAAAGCAGAAAACTGAAACACTGGGACATAACCACATTAAAAGCAACCCTTTATGAATTTCTGACAGCCTTCATAAGAACACTAGCAACAGGGTCCTCTACTGCTACAGTGTTCTTAACATGTACAATTAAGGACATTTATAAATAAATGCTCTACTGAAATCACACAGCTGCATGACTTACACATTTGATTCCCTGTGTGGATAAATCATTTTGTGCCCATATCCATACCATAATATTAAATCTCTGTAAACGTCTCACTTGACAGAAGTTAGCCATGGTACATAAATAAACTAGTTTATAAAATATGCCTTATACTTTTCTGTAGGATATTACAAATGCCGTTCCACTACATTTATGTTTCAGTGACCACAGTCCACAAACGGAAATGATATTTTTCTGTTAAAAAATTGCTGGTAATTTTCCAACACGCATGTGGAGACATCAATGATGGCATGTTCTGAGGGTTACAATTTTTGCATTCAGCTGGTATGTCTCACACTTTAGTTTATATAACTAATTTCCAAATAAAATTATGTAAATATATTTCCAATAAAATACTTTTCATGTTCCTTCAGTTATGTTCCAGAGTTTATATATATATATAGAACATTAAATTTATTAATAAATCTGTGAAATGTATCCATAATTTTTCAAATATAACTTCAAACAACCTTTTATTAGAGGCATGTTCAGAAAATATGCTTCCTGTCACTTTAAGGTCAGCTAAATCTGTCTTAGGGAATATGCAGTGTCCAAAATATGAGAATAAAATAGTAGTCGATGCTTAATGTCACTTAAGATAGCATCATCAAGAGACTTTGTGTAATGCTGAGTAACAGATGGAAACTAACTTTGGGGAAACAAAGTAAGAGGAACTGAAATGGATTCAACTGGCTCTGATGGTGGACTTCTGCGAACATAGATATAAACTTAAGATTCAGTAAAAGCATGAGGTTGTGAGAGGTAGAAAGATGGTTAAATATAGCAAGTTCTAAGGAAATGTTACATAAAGTAAATGGGGCAGTGGATATGAACCAACTTAGCACCTATCTGGCCAAGGGGAAAGGACTGTGTGCTAAGAAGTCTACTACAAAATGTATCTAGGGATATGTTGATTGTTAAACAACAGGTGTTAGTTGCCTATCATGGAAGTCCAATATCTACCTATTCATGGCTCTACAGTCCTTTTGTTGGACCTTGGTCACTTTTTCAGTTTCTTAATCCTATACACAGTCAATAGGACTCCTTTGACAAGGGATCATCCTGTCATAAGGTGCCACCTACACACAGAACAACACAAACACACACAGACATCCATGCCTTGAGTGAGATTTGAACCCACAATCCCAGCATTCCAGTGAATGAAGACAGTTCATGCCTTAGACCACACAGCCACTGTGATTGGCGAAAGTGCAATTACTTGCTTAAAAAGCTAGAAAACATCTCCTTATTAAAAGTCAATGGCAATTTGGTTCTAAAGATTCAAGTTCCATATTTTGCTACTGTGATAAGGGAAGAATATCTGTGAAAGCTGTAAGCCAAATTACCATTCAGTTAATTAAACCATAATCAGCAATAATGATCAATCTATGAATCCAGAAATGTGCATATGGTGATCTTCAAATGATGTATTGTTTATCATTAGTCTTTATTTGCAACATGAATCCCAACAAATTCTAATCCATAAGCAATGAAGCCACAATCCCCAATAGAATGAATGTTCCATAAAGACTGTATGTTACATACACACCTCCTAGCAAATCAACAGGCTAGTACATATTTGTATTGCAGTCTGTGGAAAGAAATATTTCCAGAGAATTATATATTCTGTTACTATGCAATACAGCCTTCAAAGAACATCCTACACAGTCATGATAACATAACATACAGCCTCAAGGGTTAGTAATTAAATGCTGGCAATGTATATAAAAAAGACCATTTTGTTTACCACTAAGAGAGAGCTAAGCAGATAGAGATAAGAGATGAGAGGGCAGTAAGCAAACATATGTCTAAAAGGGTAATGTGTTCAAAGTTCGATCATGAAAAAGACGGCAAAGGAAACCGCTTAAGCATAAGCTCTGAAGTGATTTTAATATGCAGCCCCACATTTCATGGTTTACTTAAGGACGCTGTCAACAGTTCAACTATACAGTGTCAACCAGGCATGTGGAGTATTCATAAAACCTGTCTAATATTAATTATTAAAATACATATGGCTTAACTCCATAATTAAATCATCGCTCAGTCTTTTCCATCTCTTATCACTTCTAAAAAATCAGAGTTCGATTTGAGAGCACTGTTGAAGACGTTATTCTCAGACTAATTCATTGAGAATGATGTGAAGAAGACACTGAAAGGCTGATTAGACTTCCAAACAAAAGAAAATGCTAATTCCTTCTAGTCTTACAAACATAAAAATGATGTAAAGCAGATAGATATAATTCGCACTCCAGACTTCCTAAATCGCAGCTCCCTTCTGCCCCCCCCCCCAAACCTAGGCTCTGGCAAGATAAATGGAGTGCACTTAAATAAAGTACACTATACAGTTCCCACATAGCGAGGTCCACAGACACTGGTCCACGTAATGGTGCTATACGGCGGTTTCACTACAGATAGTAAATCTGAACTGCCTTCACAATATATATATTAATGCAATTACATTGCTTTAACTGGAATTTACTTTCAAATTGAACTCTACCTCTGCTGTCTGGATCTGTTCCCATCTGTAAAAATAACAAGATTTTAGTTAACATGTAAGATTTACCCGGAACTTCCATTCGTTGACCTTCATTTTGAAGGAAGCTGGAAACTCAAGGCCATTAGCATCTCCATCTCCACCAGCCTGTGACATTATAAGAGTTCATAATAAAGCTACAAAGATAATATCATCTTTATTTACAAGAATAAATTAAATAATATCTGAAGTCCAGAGATTTAAAGTGCTAAAATCTTATCGAGCTCATAGAATGAGAAGATTTTGGCAAATATATTTGCCATGAAAGCTTAAAATCTTATTAGTTGTTCAAAGATTAAACAAGCACTGAAACTCTACACCACTAAGAATAATACATGCAAGAAAACTGTTAAATATACAAAACTATAATTTTGCCTGTGGTTCTGTATGGGTGTGAAACTTGGTCTCTGACATTAAGGGGGGAGGAACATAGACTGAGGGTGTTTGAGAACAGGGTGATGAGGAGAATATTTGGACCGAAGAGAGATGAAGTGACGGGAGGTTGGAGAAAACTGCATAATGAGGAGCTTCATAACTTGTACTCTTCTCCAAGTATAATTAGAATTATCAAGTCAAGGAAGATGAGGTGGGCAGGTCATGAAGCACGAATGGGAAAGACGAGGAATGCGTATAGGATATTGGTGGGAAAGCAAAAAGGAAAGAGACCACAGGGAAGACCAAGATGTAGGTGGGTGGACAATATTAGAATGGATCTTAGAGAGATAGGATGGGATGGTATGGATTGGATAGATCTGGCTCAGGATAGGGACCAGTGGAGGGCTCTTGTGAACATGGTGACAAACCTACGGGTTCCATAAAATGCTGGGAAATTCTTGAGTAGCTGCATAATTGGCGGCTCCTCCAGAAGGGCTCAGCTCCATGAGTGAGTAAGTAAGTAAGTAAGTAAGGTAAAACTGTTATCAAAGGAGGTACTAAGGGTGATGAAACCAGATTTATCAAATATAAAATATTATTTTCTCAAAATTAAGATCAGGTTGTAGAATTCCATTCAAATTTGGAATTTCAACCAATATTTCTGGAACAGTATTTCTCTTTCACCCCGCATGGAGGCAGGTCAGAATACCTCCACTGTAGCCCTGCGAATCACAGAAGGCGACAATAATGGAACCCAGTATCTGGGGATATGACTGGGCCATCCTGTCAATGGGGGCATAAACATAGAGACTTGATCCACCAGGTTGGAGGTTGGATGTAGGGCTGACAACCTTCTTCCGTACAGAAGTTATTTTATTAAATCCAAAGAAATGAAAACTGGAAGGGTAATGCAGCAGAATCTTTCAAGGAAGAGCATGGCTCAACAAGGGCTGTTTTGCCAAAGATGATTTATATTTTACTTTTAGCTGAATATATACCACAATGTTTTACACGCAATAATGAACAACAGAAAAACATTCTGTCACTGTGAAGTAGCTTTATGTTTCTCAATTTCAATTCATTAGTTTGAAAAATGCCTCCAAGACTGCTTTGTACTACTAATTTTCAGGATGATGATATGGTTTATATGTGTTAATGAACTCAAATTGAGAGTGAGCATAACCATGTCTATGTTCAAAGATATATGGGAAAACAATAAGGAAAACAAGCAGACATATTTGTTTCCACACATTGGTCATCTTCAGTGAACACTGTGAACAGTCCTCTAGAAAGCTGATTTAAATAGCCTCCTGCAGCCTTAGTGCTCGTAAGTGCTTGAATACAATAGTTCCAGGAAAACAAACAAAATCAGACTTGAAAGCCCTGGGGATTGCTATTAGCAGGAATGGTCATGTACTAAATTCCTGAATTTACAAAATAAAGAAAAGAAAAAAAACTACCTCTACAACACCAAGTTTTTTTTTGTGCAGATTACTGAAGAGTATTTTGTAAAACAACACATCCTTTGTAACAACTTATTTAGTCTACAGGGATGATTTCAAAGAAATACATATGCCTGTGAAACTTGTTGGGTAAAAGGTAAGAAAAGGTAGAGCTATCCCTGCAACAGGCCATAAAGGCCCATAGGGTTGTGAGACATCAAGGCTCCCACATTTTCTAGACAGCTGGCTCACAGATGGCGGTAAGATTGTCAGCCTTACATGCCAACCACCCTTTACCCCCCAGGAAGATTCCTGGTATTCATTTTCATTATATGCTGAGTTGACCCCAGGGCCATAGTGCAGATGGAAGGATTAGGTCAATTGAAAAAAAAAATCCACCTCATCGGGACTCAAACCTGCAACCTTCCAGCTTGTAGCATAGTGCCTCAACCAACTATGCTACTGCATGCCCCAAAAACTTGTGGGTATGAAAGAAATATGGTCTAGTGAATTCAGTATGCTGAAAAAGAGATATTTCCTGAAAACTGCAACATGAAGAAAGAAATCTGTTCCAAACATTATAAAAATTCACACCAAGTAAAAATGTGTATGCAGGGTGTGGAGAGGGGAGGGGTATGAAGCAGACAACATACTAAATTTCTATACTAAAGGTAAGGTAAAGCTATCCCTGTAACAGGCCATGGAGGCTCACATTTTCTAGACAACTGGGTCACAGAAGGTGAGGTGAGGTTGTAAGCCTCATGCCTCGGTCACCCTTTACCCCAAGGAAGATTCCTAGCACTCATTTCTGTCACAGACTGAGTCGAACCCAGGGCTACAGTGCAGCTGGAAGGATTTATACTATGACTTTGCAATGTGTATGAGCTGAATTCTGTACAAACATTTTAAAGTTGATACACTCTTGCAAAAAATTCACAGGTTTATGACAGATGCATCACACACACTGACACATCTCTTACAAACCCACAGTGAACTGACAACCACTTGAAGTTGCATGTGTATGCACTATACCAGAAAAATTATTTGAATTCTGTAGTTAAATACTACCTTTTAAAAGCGGTACTGACTTACACTTATACAGGAATAATACTAAAGCACATGTTACCATCCTCTATGCTAACTCATCTACAAGTGACTGCAAGTGACTGAAAGCGACTTCAGTGTTGAAAGGCAAAGCCACACTTAATACAGTGTTGCCAAGCAATGTTAGACAAACACAGAGAAATAATTTGGTGATCTTGCTGACCAATTCTCTAGTCTGAAGTAAACAGTGCCTGGAGATGGTAATTACTCACTGAAGCATATCTTAAATTTTCCAAACATAAAATATTAATTTAATACTTAATGAAGTTTTATATTATATATCTGACTGCCTAACATGTTTGGGAGGAACCTGTTGTCTCCAGCTTCTACCCTCTACCAAACTACATAGTGTCACATCCCAGAAGGCACTAATCTTGACACCCACAGCGGTGAAAACCTCAAATCTCTCAAAAGATACATTTTTATATAATTTCAAAAACATTATAAATAAATTATGAAATGTAAACATCCAGATGATAAATTCAGCAAGGCAGTAATATTTCCCAGCCAAGAACATCAAAGGCTAAAACACAACACCTAATAGAAAATTTAGCAATATAGGTTAACAAAATTGTAATAGGCTTCATAAAAGTTCTTACTTGTGGTCACTGAAATCATAATGAACAACCAATGTTTTGCAATTTTTGTAAGCATTGTACTTACGCATACAATCCTTCACACATAACTGGCATTTTGCAATAAACTAACAGAAATGATTTTTAACAGAATTTTCTTAGTTGCAATATCAACAAAACCAAATTTCTATGGTACAGATCAGCCACACAAAAACATTTATCAATCATCTTACAGTAGCATCTTTCCTCTATGTACAAGCCACAAATACATGTTCAAAAACATCTTGAAAACATTAAACCTGATTTCCCCCAAAGTCCCAAGTTCATCAAACACTGGAAAATAATCTCTTTTCTTGAAAAAAAAAAAAACCCATATTTTTAAACTATCCTTCCTAGAAAAAAAAAAAGAAAAAGACATTCAGAAAAAGAGAATTACTATACTTGAGTTTTCCACGCTTTTCCATCAAATATCTTCTTTTTCTAGGCTCAATTCTGTTTTACACACATCAGTGATTTCCACTTAATATTCAAGTCCTATTTTAAAATACACAAATGGGTAGAGGCTACAAACACATTACACCAGTCTGAACAACAGCCATACTTAGAATTAAATCAAAGGTATTAAATATTTTTATGGCAAAATTATTGGCACATAGCAGGATCAGATATTAACTGATGGATGAACATGCTCTAAATCTCTCTGCAGCAAATCACCAACAGCATGTCTCTTGGTTGGACCATATTAAGATCTGATTATTCATAGTAGTCATGACAATGGATTAATAATTACTAGGGACTTAGTCCCACCTCACTAGCATTAAAAAAAATACTATCTATAAATACTTTAGAACATACTACCTATCTGCATATACTGGAACATATACAGCATACATACATTTTTCAATATAGAGACAGATATAAAATTTATTTCCAATAATGGAACTGACCACATACACAGTGTGTCCAGGTTCTGTTAGGACTGTGTTCATTAAAAATACAAGACGTGAATTATTTTCAAAATTTCACTCTTTTTATTCAAAATAGTCTCCTTCTGAATCAATACATAGCTGGAATCGATTGAATAGTTTTTGAAAAGAGTCACTGTACTCCTTTTGTGGAATCGCATTTAAAACTGCAGTACATTCCCTTTGGATGTCCTGGATGGTGTTGTGATGGTGTCCTTTCATCACCAACTTAACTTTTGGGAACAACCAGAAATCTGCTGGAGCCAAATGTGGCAAATACGGAGGATGATCAAGGACTGTGATCCTTTTTCTGGCCAAAAAACCACACACGATCTTCTATTTGTGGGATGGGGCACTGTTGTGGAGGAGCGACCAGGAACCTTGCTCTCGACATTCAGGTTAAATTCCAAGAATTCTCACCCACAGACGATTGAGGACTCCGAGATAATAATTACTGTTACTGTTACTGAATTACTGTTTGACCTTCTGGCAGAAATTCCTTGTGAATGATTCCTTTGGAATCGAAGAAAATGGTTAGCAGTGTCTTTACTCAACTCTTTTGCACGCTTGCCCAAGTCCTCGGTCAAAATTTGATGCACAGTACTTTTTGTATTCCCAAAAGCTCCTTGATGAGTCTTGCAGAAACACATCTGTCTGATGAAAGGATTTCAGTCACTTTTTTCATATTTTCTTCAGTGCAACTTGTTCTCGGCTTTGATGCACATGGAGCATCTTCAATGTCCTCCCTGCGGTCACGAAATACAGCATACCATCGAAAAATGTTTGAGTGACTGAAACAATCACTACCGTACACACTTTTCACCCTTTTGTATGCTTCTCTGGCTGTTTTGGCTAACTTCAAATAAAATTTCTTCAACCACCATTTTCCGATGAGCGTCAGAACAGTACTGTTACATTCAAGGTCAGAACACATGATGCAGTGATGCTTGCGCTTTGAAATTATAGACAGCCACAGCTGAAACTTCAAGAATCTGAACGCCACAACTCGCCAACAGATGGCATTGCGGGGCAAAATTTAAAAAAATGAGTCCTAATGGATCCTGGACACACCATGTACAAAGAAAACTATAAACATCCTGGTGAAACACAATATTAATTGAATGCCAGTGGTACTCTGAGCATTCTGAAAACAATTTCTTGATAGTAAAGATAGAGTTTTCAACAGAAACATTACTATCTAGGGGTGGGAAAACGTGAAAGGAAATGGTTAAGAATTACTGTTATTTTACAGTCTTACTTTTTTGCTGCTTCTCAAATATATATAAAAGAACAGCTGAGTACTCCACCCAATTGTACATAAGCATATTTGTGTATTTAAAATGTTTCTGTCTTTGATATAATAATTGTCATTGCTATAACTGAACATTATGGTCGAGTGGTTAGCACTACAACTTATTATTTGGTAGTTCCTAAGTTTGAAACTTGGCCTGAAAACTGACTAGCGTAATTGAGGTTTTCTGTAGTTCTCCTCAGTCCCTCCAGGGAAATATCAACATAGTACTTCAAATTAGATGACTGTTTCCTTCCACACCCTTCCCAATTCACTATTTATTAATGATCAGTCAATGAACGCTACAGAGTCTGAGCTACTAGTAGCGTTATATCAAATATAAATAAATACAATAAATGTCATTGAGGTACTTATTCTGTGCCGTATATTTTGATCAAGAAAACAGAATGATAGTACCATACTGTAATCCAGTTCGGTGCTTTACCTCATTATAAAATGATATGACAAATAGTTTCCTAAATTATATGCCACAGATTAATCACACGACTAAAAGATTTATTTTAATCTTGCTGTGACTTACAGTGTCCTAAAGCATAATGTCATTTGGAATGAAAAGAACCGATCTAAATTGGTATATTAACAATTTCTGCTTCTTGGTACATTCAAGAGACATCACAAAAGGAAAATTATATAACAGATTGTATGATAGTTAATACATACCTTATCTTTCTTATCCTGCCTGGCATATGGGAAGCATGGTATAACAGCAGTCACACGTGATGCTGAAGCAATTTTGCAAGCATTAATCATGATCAGAAGCTCCATCAAATTGTCATTCACCTCACCACTTCCACTCTGCACAATGTATACATCTTCACCTCTCACAGATTCTCCTATTTCTACACTGTAAGAGAAAGAGAGCAATAGGAATTTCTATACTTGCTTCTAACTCCTCCATAGAAAAGCAGCCAATAAAATGGTATAGCTGGTTTAGGGTATCAGAGGGATTCAATTAATGCTCAACAATTTTCACACCAAAAATACAAGAACTGCTCATGTTTTGCACTTCAATTCAGTTTTATACAAGCACATGTTCTCTTTTCCTACACCAGTATAAAGAAAAAAAGATAAAGTAATTCATTTACTTAATTACAGAATTAAGCACTACACCATGAAGGCATATGGATGAGTGCAGGTAAAGCTCCACCATTTGAAACCTCGGTACTAAATGGAGGTGAATTGTCAGCTTCACACACTGGCCATTTTACCCCTTGGGAGACTGCCCATGGTACCCACTGATAGGAGGCTGGGTGGGCCCCAGAGCTGGTCTGGACGTTATGCATGAGAGAAAATTTTGTCTCTGCCTGGAATCAAATGGGGGCACACAGTAGTGTAGTTGGTCAAAGCACTGTGCTACAAGCTGGAAAGTTGCAGTTCGATTCTCGATTACATCACTGAATTTTTCAATTGACCTAATCTAGCCGCACTATGGTCCTGGGGTCAACTCAGCCTCTTAACAGAAATTTGTACCAGGAATCTTCCTGGGGGTAAAGTGCAGCCAGTGCATAAGGTTGACAACTTCACCATCTGTGAGCTGACTGTATAGAAAACGTGGGAGCCTCAACATCGCATGACTCAATGGGAGTCCATGGCCTGTTGCATGGATAGCTTTACATTTTACCTGGAATCAAACTCTGCTCATGGCAGTGCACTTCAAGAAATATCTAATATAGAAATAGATATACCCCTTTTGTTACCACGGGACTGTCAGCCACTGACTGTCAGCTGGGAGATAAATGTAGTTGGTATCTGCAGCTTCCAGCTCAAGGATAACAGTTACACAATTTGTAGTAGTTACGCGTTTCTTTTCGGTCTTCACAACAGTGACAGTCTTCCAGGCTGTGTCACTGTGTAGTCTTGGAGGCAGACAGCAATGTTTTGGAGACATGCCTTCCTCCACCTTCTGGGTTCAAGCCTGGAGGCAACATGTTCCTCTGAAATGTCATTATCTGCCTCCAATACTGCACTGTGCCACAACCTACAAGGTCACAAATTTAAATTGACTTTATCAGCTATAAGCCATTTACAAAGACAAAAATAACACTGTCTAATGTGACTATTTAACCCGTTGCCGTGGTTCGTCGTGTATGTTTCGTCAGGGATTTAAATCGTCTGGGGGGGTTCGGCGTGTATGTTTCGTCCAGCTGCACACCTATGTTATAACGCCCATAATAATTGATGGTTTTGCTGTAGATTGTTGGATTTTTCGCTGGCCTGTTGTCACAAGAACAGAGTATACTAAGCCAACGAGTTTAGCTGAGATAAGTCATCGTTACATATGCCTGTCTTGCAGCAAATTCGTGTTGCTTCTTGTAGCGGTTTCGTCACTCAATGGCGTATTTGCTTTGCTTGTGAAGTAATAAACACCAGAGAGGTGATGTGTGCTGTTGTATATAATATCATATTGCCCTGAGCTGGCCACACAAACACATTCCATTGGAATTCTTAGAAGAGGGTTGTCCAAAATGTTATTCTCGTAAAATCGATTGCTTTCGCACAGTACATAGCACCCATTTCTTAGAAATACGCCACAATTTAAGGCAGAACACTGTGGTCACCCCCTGAGACGATACGGATGTGTGTGGGGGAGGGAAAAGTACTCATTATCGCTCCAGTTGACGCCATTTTATCGTACTGACCTTGGTGGTCGTTTCGAGAGCCAGCTCTGTGTTTAGACTAATGCTTCAAGGCGTCACCTGCTTACATAGCCGAGATACCGGGTGCTCATATTATAAGGCAAGGTTATAAAACCAACTTTTAAGATCATTTTAGTGAAAGTTTCATCCTTCAAGGCGTACCATTCTCTGCTCAAATACTAAATAACATGCTTCCATTGAAGATATAAAGGGGGTTCATATTATAAGGTAAGGTTATAAAACCACCTTTTAAGATCATTTTAGTGAAAGTTTCATGTTCCTATCTCATAGAATTTAAGAACAATGATGAATAAATAATTTTCGAGCAAAATTTAAATGGCCGGCTGAATATATTACCGCAGGAGCCGCGGCCGCGGAATTTAAATGACCACGTCAAAAGGTTAAGTCACACAACAGGCCACGAATAAACACGGAAATACTAGGAATTTCCTTTCGCAAGATAGACACGTGGCACAGGATCAGCCACCTCCATGAATAACAATAGGAGAACTGACACGAACCTGTATGGTTTATAAATTTTAAGCTTGAACTAGAAAAGTCTGAAACATGTAAGGGTGATGAGTCTTCAAATGATAAAACTTAAATAGTCACATTAGACGGTGTTATTTTTGTCTATGTAATTGTTAGTGTGACGGACCAGAATGAAACATATTACATTTATAAGCCATTTGTTCATGACAGCGAAGATATTGTTTGATAATTTCACAAAACTGCTTATGCAGGCTACACAGATTATTATACTAGATACTACATATTGTTATCAGCATAGATAAGTTTTGAGATTGCAATGAGATGGACAGGTCATTAATACAAACTTGAAAAATGGGTGGGCCACATACTGTGCCTTGTCAGGCTCCAGGCTGTACTTTATCCAAATCTGAACATGCAAAATCACGTTCGTTGGACTCTCCTTTTAAGCTATGATTAAAAACCGGCCAGCATTCCCTTCAAAACCATATTATTACAATTTCATGAATAACACTCTATAAAGTACGCGATTTTTAACTTTGGAGGGATCACAGACTATTCCCACATCGTGAGTTTTCCTATTTATGGCCTTCGGTATTTCATGTGTAGAGAAAATTAAATTTCAATGAGATCAGGCATATACATTAAATCCATACAAATCAGTTATATACTGTAACCAATATTATATCAAATTACTGTTATTACTAACAACAATATTATTTAATACAAAGCAACATGATTTCCAAAACAGATTACATTCATTCATGGAATGGCTATAACGCTCTAATTGTTTTATATTTACCTCAAACAATGTGCGTTACTTACCATGTTTCCAAGTTGCTGAATTTCTTAGTTACTACTTTCCCCAGATCAATGCCCAGTCGATCAACAATTCTTTGAGCAAGATCTGGATGCGACGTACCACTGAAAACCTTGATGTTCGGCATTCTACTTCGAAGAAATGTACTCGGCTTTTCCAACTTCGCTCGAATCAAAGACCTCGCTCGCACTGGATCCGACACGACGGGCATTACTGCAAAAACATAACATGCAACCAATCACATTATAGCGGAAAAAGCTTTACATCATATCCTGATGAACGTATTCTATTGAGCGAAGGTCGTGTTTTGTCGATGAGAGAGCACGTCCGGCATTTGAGTCTTAAATATTGTTCCATCTAGAGGATCTAGAGGGATTTAGAGAAACGAGTAACGATATCATCTAAGACAAGCACTGCGGAAAAAGTATTAACCATTTGAGCATGACAATCGTCTCATTGTTTAGAATTATCAATCACTATGTGTGAGTTGTACACATTGCATATGAATAGGCCATAGCGGGCAGTAGTATCAAGGAAACTGTATCAACATAACAGGCACAATCGAACAGCAATATAGTAGGGATGGTGCTGGGAATTTAGTTTTGAAGTATCAGAAATCTCGAAGAAGAGAAGCAATGCGTTAGATTATTTGATAACTATAAATATGGCTAACATTGCTGCGCAGAGAATCAAGAGAGAATTTAAGGAAGTTATTAAGAGTGAAGAGGTAGGAACCGATTTGACCCCGTGAACCCAGTCTAGGTTTTGAAACTTTTTGTCATCCCGAATAAGAAAGATAGACATAAATCATTAGATGCGACATTTATTTATGGTACTAAGCAGTGAATTCTCAGTAAGGTATAAATATTGCCTTGGAGTTGAGTGTACCGTTATTTGATAGGTTATTTTAAAATTGAAACTTTTATTTTGTGGTGCATGTCTGTATTTTCCTGCTTTGTTACGTGCTTGAAATACTTGTATATCTGTAGAATAATTGGCAGTCTGGTGTGAGACAGTAGATTAATTTGTCATAAATAAACTTACCCGGATTGTAGACATACTGGTCAGATTACTAGAATGTGCCTGCATGCAGTAAGATTATATGAGTTCTCTCCACATTTCAGCAATCAGGTTCCCAAGAATGATTCCTCAGTTTCGAGTGACATTGACACAGTATTACATTAAAGCATGCTGTGTTTTGAATAGGTTATGTTTTTGTTACCTTTATTTTAACCTCAGGCTCAGTTGAATCAAACCAGTTAAGCTTAATAGTATTAATACAATCTATTGACTAGATTACAGGTTATTCTTCTTGCAATGACCTATCATTAAACTTAATACCATAAAAAGGTTTGATATCCATTTTGTGTTGTAATTGTAATTGGCAAACTTCTTGGACATTAAAAGATACAGATACCTAGATACCACTGAATAGAATGTAGCAGTTGGGGGTAAGATAAAGGGTTAGTGTCTTGTGCCATAAAATGGGACTGCTTGTCTAAGGTAGTAGATCCTGACAGCAAATCTGTGGTCCCCTGGCAAGTTGAGGGGGTGGGCTTAGGGCTGACATCCTCATCCTGTAAACTTTTCCAAGTCAACAATCTAAGCAGGACAGTGTGTTGGAAGTGGCCAGGGTTCAAACTGGACTGTAGAGCCATTAGGAGTAAATACCATAGTAAATATGGTACATGTTTGCTACAACAGCCAGAATAATTATAAATTTCAGTATCATGAATTTCGCCATCCTCACAGGTTTTCAAACACACTCTTTTGTTTAGCATTCCTTGTAAGAAGTGGTGATTATAAGGCTCATACAAGAATTTGTAACATGTATGTGTGTATATAGCCTAGTAATAGTAATAACTGTTAAATAATATACCAGAACAAGGAGTTCATTTTACAAACAAACAAAAATTGAGTGTCATGCTGATTTTTCAAACTGTTGGTTCATGTAGTATGACTGGAGACTTGTCAGGCTGTGGAGTTTGTGTGGTACTGATGAGAATATTGGGTGTGTCACGCGACAAATAACTTGATGTGGGTCTCGGATTTAGCGAATCTTTATTGTGCTTCACTTATACACTCACACGATTTACAATGTCACAATCCTTCTGCTGTAGTCGCTTCTCGACTTGGCAAATGCTAGACTGCTTTCGGCGGCAGCCTTCTGAATAACTCGTTACCGCAGAAGTGCATTATTCTGGTTCAACAATCCGTTGCTTAGGAAGTGCAGTATTTCCCGTTGTTACTCAACGACAATTCGTTACTATGATTTGTCACTTTGGGAACTCCACAGTTTCCACGAATTTGTTGCCGTGGAAGTGTCCGTTCTGATTGTAGCGGTTGTCGCGGTGATAGACGTAAGGTAATGCGTCACAATATTATACATGAAGTGAAATATGATAATGTGCCTGAAATTTGCATTGTTATGAAGTAAAATAGTTGAATATTTTCATCCAGTTTTTATTCATTCTCTAAAAGTGGATACAGGGAAACCATAATGAGGTTGTCATCATCATCTCATGTATCATCTCAGAGACTGCTTAATAAATTTCAATGAAATGTGTTACTGGGGCAGAGGGGAGGTGTTACTTGGAAAATTGGCCAGCAGCTTTTTGGTTCATATCAGTCCAGTATTACCCCAATTTTTACATAAAGTTTTAATAAGAAATATTAATCTTTCTCAAAAGTTGCATCATCATCATCATCAGTAATCTGTCAAGACGACAGGTCCACAGTCTCTTTCAAAACAATTCCTCCACTTAATGCGAACTTAAACTTAAAGCTTTGCGCAGTGGCAATATCGTAACCAATGAGGTTTATCCGAGGTGCGATTATTGCTAGTTGAACACCCTCGTTGGTGTCTCCACCTTATCGTGGTGAGGGGGTTTGAGTATGCCAAGGACCCTGAGAGCTATACCAGCGGTAGCGTAGCTACTGGCAGGGCCTCCCTTGCTGGACAGGTCAAAGGGTAGGCATCAGACAAAGAGAGACACCAAAAACTGATGCCGGAAGCAGCGTCATCAGTAGCGACTTGAAGCACAGAGCAAATGATGCTCGAGATGGTTCAAGTTCGTATAGCAGCAGGCGTGACCAGAGTGGTTTGAACGGCTGCTGTACTGCGATGTGGAAAGCAAATGGAAAAACTACCACATTATCACTTTTCCTGGATAGTCTCTTTCCAAAAACAGTTGCATCATACAGGAAATAATTGGTACATGACTTGAAATGCAGACCTTGTATTATCAGCAACTTTTGTTTAAAACATTTGCTATGTGGTTAATATTTTCATGGAATTTAGGGACAAATTTCATGATAAGATGACTGTTTAAGGAAGCCTCTTTTAACTTGCATCCATATGGCATCATTTGCTGAGAGATTTATTGTAACATTTGTTTTCTTTATAAATGATGCCTAGCTAACATGATGTGTAACATTAGATTAAAATTAAGTACATGCAACTGCAGTCAGAATAATTTCCAGTTTTTTGGAAAAATATAAAAGTACAGTATATCAAAATAACACATAAATAACAGATCATAATATTGTAAGATATAGTGAATTTATTTCGTGTTTATTTTGTTGTCCTCACATCTTGTATGGTTTGTTGGGTTTGACATCTTGAGTTCACAGTTTTTATAAAAACGACATTATGATATATAATGAATGCTTAGTAACACCAAAATCTAAGAAGATCAAAATAAATAGTCCGATGTAATTGCAATTTTGCAGTACAGTATATTGTATTGCACATGTTATGGTATAAAGTTTGAATGGTAGCACAATGCTTTGTATTTAGGAAGTCCCAGATTTCATTCTTCTGGATTGTGATTTTTCTTATCTTCTCCTTGAAAATTCTGGAAAGGCATCTAATAATACCCATTCCACATCCTACCAAATTTATTATTCGCTGTAATTCTCCCATTTGATACTATATGATCTGCGAAGTTGAAGAAGCATTGCTGAATAAGCTGTGAACTCAATATGAAGACAGTGTAGAATAAATAAAATAAATTACACTAACCTAACTTAAGGGCCATGCCATACCTCAGGCAGTTAGCTGTAACTGCAGCAGCCCAGGTTTGAGCCCAGGTCAGGTCATACAGGATTTGTGGTGGACAAAGTGACACTGGAACAGGTTTTCTCCAAGTACTTGGGTTTCCCCTGCCAATTTTCATTTCACTAACAGCTCCACACTCATCATCTATCATTACAGGGTTCCACACCAAGTGGGCTCAGTCTCACTGCACCCCAAGAAACTAAAAAAAAACTAACTTAAACTGTCTGAAGTCATATTTAGTGGAGAAATATAAAATAATGCCTAGGTAAAAAAGTAAAGCTATCCCTGTAACAGGCCGTGAAGGCCCATAGGGTTGTGAGACGTTGAGGGTCCCACATTATCTAGACAGTCGGCTCAAAGATGGCGGTAAGGTTTTCAGCCTTACGCGCCGGCCACGCTTTACTCCCCAGGAATATTATTTAATTAATTCCTGGTACTCATTTCTGTTAGATGCTGAGTCGACCCCAGGGCCATAGTGCAGCTGGAAGGATTAGGTCAATTGAAAAAATCCAGTGATCTCATCGGGACTGGAACCCACAACCTTCCAGCTTGTAGCGTAGTGCCTCAACCAATTATGCTGCCGCGTGCCCCCAATGTCTAGGTACAAGACAGAATATATTAATGTATGCATCTGCACAGACATACATCTGATAATTGTATAATTGTCATCAGTAAATAATGTCAGGACTTGGGGGCAGGTGAAGGAGTCATAAGAATGTGGTTATCATGTTGTAGACATACTGAGTTAAATGTTAAAATTAACAGAAAATTAGCTCACTTACCATTAGTGCTACTCATGATTTGTTAATAATGGAAGCCTTCTGTATATTTTTGGGTGAATCTGTCTCTTCTGCGGTATTATTTTTACTCGTTTTACTGCTTTTAAATTCTAAGTTAACTGTTTATTAATGCCAGATTATTAACTGCACCCATTTTAAATTAAGAAGCTCTATGGTGACGTTTGATGATAAAGGTTACAAAAACATGTGAATCTAATGGCGTATATGGTTATCTGATGATGTAGGCACAGCATATTTCATGGAAGGAATGATGTGCAAGATGTTATTGAAATGGTAACTGTTATGATCATTTTCATTTATCACCAATTTAATGTGATTCAGTTATACATAGACACAATCTGACTGTTACAGTTCATATAGCAGATAACACTGTGTCTCCATGTATGAATGTTGAAAATACTACTATTAGCTTTATTCTGTTAAGTAAAGAAACCCGAGCTTATCCCCGGACACTGACATTTGTTGTAAATTCTTAATCTCTTCATGACATGGCTGATAACAGAGAGCAGTCAGTAATTTCAAATTTTTCCTAATTCTGGTTGACTGGTTATGAGAACATTCAGTGGGTAGAACTCCTGCTTTGTATTTGGAAAGATTATGAGTTGAAAACAAGACAAGGAACTTGATATAATGGGGAACAGAACACAGCAAGGAGGAATACACACATGAGCACTAGGGGAGCCATCTATCAACAACTAAACATCAACACAGAAAGACAGCAGTTTTCTTGCCCATAACTTTTTAACACCTGATGATGACCAGTTCGGTTGAAACCTGTTATGAAAACTTTTAAAGTGACTAGCTTTTAATAAGTTTTAATAAGTTGTTGCACATAAGACTGTAGAGTTAAAAACACTAAGTGGAAAGTGCAACAGGATGCTACAGTATATCATTGCACAAAGATTGCAAGGACTGAGAACCTGAAGTTAGAATAGATATTAATTTTAGTACATCAGAGTTCAAGTAACCAGTGTCACAGTATATATCCCTGGAGTTATAGGAAAAAGTTTCAAGTAAAAAACTGATAAAAATGAGGGTTTTTTTATTGCTAGTGGGGTGGGACTAAGTCCCTTGTAATGTGGCCACTTCTGGCCTATTGTACCAGCCCCAGATGATAGGTGAGGGTGATTGTGGAGCAGTTGGTGGAATGAAGATTGGCAGGGGAAACCGAAGTACTCAGAGAAAACCTGCCCCAGCGGCACTTTGTCCACTGCAAATCCCACTTGACCAGACCCGGGATCGAACCCGGGCCACCGCGATGGGAAGCCAGCGACTAACTGCTTGAGCTATGGCACGGACCCTAAAAATGAGGTAACTGCGTCACAAAATTTTTCCTGCTAAAAAGATCAAGTAAAAAGTAGGTTATGTCTTTGAGCACAGTGCTTTCCATTCAGTGATATGAGGAAATACTGACTGTTAAATATGCTATTGCATAAAACTATAAAGTTTTTCTTCTTTTCATTAAAAGTGGCATTTAGAGACTTAACCCACTTTTGTATAACATGACAGATATAAAACTAATTTAAAGTTATATTACTATATTGCAGGTTGCAAAGTGTGCTATAAAAGTTGAGCTGGTGAATGACAACTATACAGAATTGAAAGGAGAAATAGCTGGACCTCCAGAGACACCTTATGAGGGAGGGACATTCGTGTTGGAAATAAAAGTGCCCGAAACATATCCCTTTAACCCACCAAAGGTAAAGTGATAACCAGTGATTTGTAAATGAACCCGTGAAGATCTGAGATTGTCATGATGTCAGCAATTTCTACGTGAATGTTTTGAGATACTGGAAATTTTATAACAAATAATGATAAAATGAAAGTGATAAGTATAGCTACCAGCTTTATATATTTGTTATGATAATATTTTTCTGTTTTATGAGAGTAAGCATGCATGGGAAGAGAAAAACAAAAAAAAAAAACAAAAACAAAAACAAAAAAACAAAAAACTGGTCAGAAACTGTGAAGGGGAAGTGGGAATGTCAGAAGTGAAGAGAAAATAAGGCTGTCATCCCCCGTATGGATGAAACATAGGAGTAAAAGATCGAAAAAATAAAAAAGGTAAAAGTCTATGTGCTTAACTAATTAAGCACTACACCATGAAAGCATATGGGGGAGTGGATATCCAGGATTGCTATCCAAGGAATTCAAGACATCTGTAATATGAATCAGCAGAGTGCTGCTAACTTGGCCATAATGTTTGATAGGGGATAGAATTATGGTGGTGAAACGACTTCACAAATGTAGAAAGTCCAAGAAGAAGATAGGAAGATGAGGTAGAAGTTCTTGTATAATACAGTGGAAGGTAAAGTTGTCTCTTTGCATAATTAATTAAGCACTGCGGCATGAAGGTGTATGAGGGAGTGGATGTACAGATCCACATTTTCTTGTCCTCAGCACTAGCTAGAGGTGAGTGGTCAGCTACATGCCCTGTCCGCTTTACCTCTGGGGAAGGAGCACCTGCTACCCATTGGATAGGTTGGGTGAACCTCAGAGCCTGTCTGGATGATGTGGAGAAGAGAAAATTCTTGACCCTACCAGGACTCAAACTCCAACCCCTCGGTCGGTCAGCCCATAGCTAGTTGCTATACCGACTATACAATCCCGGCTCATTGTAGAATACAGTACCCTAGCAAAATGGGCAGGTTATGAAAAATATATTACAGGACAAAATACAGAAACATGCTTTCATTTGTGAAAAAAACAACTGTGATGCAGGGTATCTTTCCAAAAGATAATACAAAAGAATAATACAAGAGGTTTGATTGCATCTGTTATCACTCTTTCCCTAATATTCAAACTCTGTCTGCCAGAGAAAAGCCATCATACTGATATGCAGATATGACAGTGAGAGAGCAATATTTCTCAGATTTTTAAACAGCAAGTAAACCTTAGGGTGAGGGCACACCAAGGAAACTGGCAACCTCAGTTTCCAGGCAGTGTTATCAGACTGAGGTGAACGCATGAAATTGAATTTAGCAGCTCAAACAGAGGAAATGGCAACACAATTGCAATGCAACTCATAGAAGACTAAGAGACTCAGCTCCCAGGCAACTGAGCAAGCCAGTCTTCTCACAGTTGCGTTGCGTTGTAGTGTCCTGGTTTCAGCAGTTCTGACATGCTTCTGGGATTCATTTGCTTCTTTAGATGGCATGAAAGGTTGACGAACCCGCTAATTTTTTTTTCATGCAGTTAATTGAACAGGAGCCTGGTATATATGACACATGCCACCCAGACTGTGCTAGGTTGGACAAAATAGATTTGACTTGGAAAAGAATTTCTAATGAGATGAAGGAATCTGGATCGTGGTTAAGTTCTTTTGAAACAATATAAGCACCTGAGTTTAAATTGTCATGGAAGAACGGATGCAACCAACATCTTATTTTCCCCTTTCAACTCTTCTTAAGCCATCGCAACCACTACCATTTTATGATAGGATCAGTATTATCATCTGATATTGTAGAAGAGAAATGCAAAAAATTGAAAAATTTGATCGCGTAATATGTTGGATGAACACACTCACTTGAGATGATGTGAGCAGCTAATCAAACATGTTTCCTAAGTGTCACCTGCTAATCTGGAAACCAGTTGCATGCTTTAAATGGGTGACATTTTTTGGAAGTTGCAGTTGCATTGCAGTTGCCAGTTTCTTTGGTGTGCCCTCTCCCTGACAGATATTGGCTTAATTTCAAATATGGAAGTCACCAGAATACTCCATCTTGACTTTGCAATTTTTGTGCCTTTTTATGACTGAGTTTTACTTTTTATTTATGTTTCATGGAGAAAGGTAGCAGTATGGTATACCATTGCATACCATCACACATGCAAAAAAAATCCCCTCTATTTGAAATCAGAAGGAGGTGTGTAAGAAATAGAATTGCTTGTAGTAATTGTCTCCTCTTGTGTGTACAGGTACGATTTATAACCAAAATATGGCATCCCAACATCTCCTCTGTGACAGGAGCAATATGTTTAGATATCCTGAAAGATCAGTGGTAGGTATAATTTTACAATATGGTCTGTGAAGTCACATATGTAGAGCATATTTGTGGAGCAATTGGTGGAATGAAGATCGGCAGGGGAAACTGAAATACTCGGAGAAAACCTGCCCCAGCGCCACTTTGTCCACCACAAATCCCACTTGACCAGACCCAGGATCAAACCCGGGCTGCCGCGGTGGGAAGCCAGCCGCTAACCGCTTGAGCTATGGCGCGGCTAGAACATATCTTACAATACTTTATTCTTCCTCTCCCATTGTGGGTATAATTATTTGGTTTATTGTTACCTTCCATTCTGATTAATCATCTGGTAAGTTTAAGTAAATTGCAGTGTATGACATTACAGTGTAATTCTGTTGAATCATTGTACACTATAGGGTTGATCATTTAAAGCAGAAGAGACCCAGGAAACGCATGATCTTATTTAATTTATAATGTTTTATATTCCCATTTTCTTTCATAAAATGTATTGACTGTGATGTATAATTTACAAGTTAGTAATTACCCATACTATAAAGAAAAAGCAAGGAGAATGCTTTAGTGGTATGATATATCATCTTTCTATGTGCAATTTGATGCAAGTCATCTAATAACCAAACCTCTCCAACTGTCTCATGTTTTCTCAAATCTCCTCTTCAATTTTCCTTCCATGTTCCTTCTTCTGTATGACATCTTTCGTAACCTGCTATTCCCATCTTAACGTCAGTCTTCCTCTTGACTCTTAATCTTTTTGATTAATAGGCAATGTTGTCCTTGTACTTAATTAACCACCATTTCATGAATGTGTGTGGAACAGTGGAGGTGTAGCACTAGATGAAGGTGAGTGGTCAGCCTCATGCCCCAATCACTTTGCCCCTGGAGAATGATCCCCCAGTATCTGTATAGGAGGCTGGGTAGGCCATACAGCCAGTCTGTACACTGTAGAGAAGATAAAAATCTTACCTCTCCCAGAAATTTAACCTCAGCCATCCAACCCATAGCCCATCATTATACTGACTGAGCCATCCCAGCTTTTTCTTTTAGTTTCAAGTTCAAAACCTTCTTTGGGATTCTATCTTTGTTCGTACTTAAAAGTGCCATACTATCTCATTGTTATTTGTTAATTTATGTTTCAAGATATTTTTCTTTAAGTACTCTGTAACTTTTTTTGTTTTTACTGTCTCTTATGGTTTTTCCGTCTGTACTCAAAATGCTCACCTCAGCTGCCATTAGTCTACTAATATCTGCTGTGGTTCTTTTCTGGTGTTTCTGCTCCATATATTAATAGAGGCATGTCTTCAGGATTTCTTATTTCCGAAGGATATTCCTAACTGTTAACATTATCCTGCATTCATTATTCTTTCTGATGTGTATTAACAGGATGTGCAGCGAGAAATTATGTCATATATGAAAAAGTAATTTTTTTGAAGATATTAATCATCTTGCGCCCTTTTGTTCAGGTATACTGACTTTGAATAATTCACCACTCATCAGTTATATCTCAAGAAATTCCTTTTGCATAATATGTGATGTCACTTATTAGTACATATTGTGACGTTCGTAATTTATGTAACGTGCTTTGTAGTGTATCCTATCTATTCCAGGGCGGCAGCAATGACGTTACGAACAGTTCTGCTTTCACTCCAAGCCCTGCTTGCTGCTGCGGAACCTGATGACCCTCAGGATGCTGTTGTAGCTAAGCAATTCAAAGAGAACCAGGATATGTTCAGACAAACAGCTCGTCATTGGACGTTTGTCTATGCAGGAGGTACACGCAATTTTAGTGCAGACTCTTTGGCCATGTGCAGTGAAATCTACATTTGAGTTTCTTTTTTTTTGGGGGGGGGGAAGTTGATTTAGACACTAAACTGAGGAATATAACCTTGAGATTGTTGACTTTGGATCGTTGCAATTGAATATTAAATGAGAAAACATTGTACTGAGGAACATTAAATGGGAGTCTCACTGTATAATGGAATAATATTTTGCTTCTTACCTAAATTTTGAAAGAAGATATTAATTTGGAAGAAAAATGTAGAAGCCCTCCTATGAGGGTCACTGAAAATGGAATGGTCTAATTATCATATGTATAAAGTGATAAGAAAAGATGACATTAAATTACAAACATATAATATAATGAGAAAAAGTACCTCATACACATCATTAAGGTTCATTAGTAATTATATTTCTAATAACTGAGTTGTATTTTAAATCATTCTTACAGGTGGAGGAACCTCACTTTTATTTACTTCAGAGGAACCTTAAACTAAAAATAAAAATTTGGAAACCACTGGCCTATTGGACATGTGGATGACTTGATTCTTTTTAGTCTATATATATTTCACTGTGTTTATCTTTCATCATGAAGGAACTGTATTAACCTTTTAAGGGCAAATGTCTGATACATCAGCTCCTGAATAACCTGTGAAGTATATTGAAAGTCTCACTCTTTTAATTGAGTCCTTTTGGTGCCATGTGTGACTGCTTGACCCAAACAAAGCATGTTATTCTACTTTCCAAGGTTTCAGCTTATCTTTATATAAACAGTGCCTGCTTCAAATTTATTTTCCTGTGTAAACAACTGTTCTAATCATTTGCAACAATTCACTAATTCTGTGAACCCATCCAGCAGTAATGTTTTTCTTCTTCCCTTTTTGGCATCTGTTACAGTAGGACTGTTTTTCAAACTTGGTAATATGTAAAAGAGTTATGCCTTCTGAGATATAATGCCATCTAGTCCATTAGAAGTTCACCAGCATTTTGGAGGCACATGTCTCCATCTTCAGGGAGAAATAATATATGTGGGAAATAAAGTATGTGAGGGGTAGTGATGTAATGCTTATTAGAATCATGTCATAGTGTTCAGTGGCAGATTGCTATCAGTCATATGTGTGTGTTTATTAGTTGATTTGGCACCTGCACAGGATGCTGTTGGAGAACTCGGAAGATGATAATTGAAGATACTCCACTTCAAAATTCATCATCATCTGAAGAAAATTATAAAGATTTAGAGTGGCACCATAAACTCCCCTTTGATGAGGCATGTATGCACTAGATTGTTGGAGAAAAAAATGGGCTAAATAAAACTGCTACTCCCATTACTTACTTACTCATGGAGCTGAGCCCTTCTGGAGGAGCCGCCAATTCAACAGCTACTCAAGAATTTCCCAGCATTTTATGGAACCCGAAGGTTCATTACCATGTTCAGAAGAGCCCTCCACTGGTCCCTATCCTGAGCCAGATCTGTCCAATACATAACATCCCATCCTATCTCTCTTAAGATCCATTCTAATATTGTCCACCCACCTACACCTTGCTCTTCCCTGTGGTCTCTTTCCTTCTGGCTTTCCCACCNTGATTGCACAATACAAATTATGAAGCTCCTCATTATGCAGTTTTCTCCAACCTCCTGTCACTTATCTCTCTTTGGTCCAAATATTCTCCTTGACACCTTATTCTCAAACACCCTCAGTTTATGTTCCTCCCTTAATGTCAGAGACAAATTTTCACACCCATACAGAACCACAGGCAAAATTATAGTTCTGTAATTCTAATTTTTATGTTTTTGGACAGCAGACGAGAAGACAAAAGTTCTGGACTGAAGGGTAGCAATCATTACCCGAGTTAAATCTTCTCTTAATTTCCTCCTGAAGCAGCTTTTGATTTGTTATAATCGTTCCCAAATATCTGAACTGTGTCACATTTTCAAA